TCCCTACCCCTGTAGTGGATGACGACACCTCTGGCATATCGCCAACCCCTTTCAGTCGGCGAGGCACTTGAACTTCAGGTTCAAAGGTCAAATTTACCAGAGAGGTAACCTTTCGGTTCACCCCCAACCGTCGACGCAAACCCCCATCTGACTTTGATTCAAGGTACCACATAGCACGCCAATACTCTTGAACTGCCATTAGCGCTTTAACTTGGCGCGAAGAAGACACCAAAGACGCACCCGCTTCGCCTTGAACTCGGGGCTACGAGACGACGCCGGCTCTTTAACGACCTTCCGAGTCAGAGGAAAGACACGCCGATGAGACGCAACGAACCCTTTCACTTCCACTTAAGACACCGCGTGCCGCGCTAGTGCCCTTGAACATCAACTAGCCCTTTTGAGCTTAAAAGACGCCCATTAGCCTTGAACTCGAAGGTAAGACACTTCGGCAACCGCTTTCACTTCGACTTAAGGCGCAGAGCGCCGAGCCAGTCGACGACAGCTAGCCTTTAAGTCAAACTCGCGTGCTGAGCGACGGCTGGCTGCTCTTTGTGAGCGCGTCATCACCAGACAAGCGAGGAGTGACTGAAGCTCGGCGCCATCGCGGCTGACAAAGGGAACAAAGGTTCCGGTGACAAAGGCACTCGGGTGTATAATCATGCGCGCACGCTATGTGCGCTCGTAACGCCGTGGAGTCTTCACACCGTGTCAGGAAGAAAGAGTCAAGTGAGGAAATGAAGCGCCTACCCGTAGTTTCATGCGGATGACCGCCGCAGTCCACCCGGATCGCCGGGAGGTCTTCTCGATCGGCGGACTGAAGACCCGCCACGTAAAAAGTCATCGTGGTTTTTTTCGGTCGGAGACATCTTCGGACCCCCGAGATTCTGCGCTTTGAAGTGGAAGCGCTTACGGACGGACGACATTCTGGGGCCTTCACACGCGTACGCTCCACCGAGACTCGCTGATGTCAATTTCCGGTGCCGTCTAAATCGAGACCGTCACAATAAACTTTCCGATGTACTTGAACGTGTCGAAAACAAGTGTGCAGGTGAGAACTCTGTCGAGCTCATTAGCAAAGACACGGGGGTCTCCAAAGCCGCCCCGTTCATTGCATACGTCTATGGGTGTGCGTGCGCCGAGTGTCTTTGCAGAGATGGCAAGCGCATTCATGGTAATTAACCACCTGATGAGGACGGTATTATTGGCAATTACCGGGCTTTGCTTTATCACAAGTTTGAAGTGCGTGTCGAGTGCGTGTGTGTGTGTGTGTGTGTGTGTGTGTGTGTGTGTGTGTGTGTGTGTGTGTGTGCACAGATCATTGCAACTTTTTTAATGACTCCATCCTTGTGACTTCACTTTTTTTTTTTTAAACCCCTGCCCCCCCCCCCGAAAAAAAAAAAAAAAAAAACACAAGGCCGGGTACGTGATTGGAGTCAAACTGCGCGCATGCAAGTTGACAAAAATGATTGTTTCAGTCTGAGAGTTCTTCCGACGTCTAACAAGTTTTTGCTAAGCACTCGTCGCAGGATTTTCGTGGGAGAAGTCATTATTTTGAATGCTTGGTTGGTGGGGGGGGGGGCCCTTTGTATTTGGAGTGAATCATCCATCCACCCATGATCTGAACCGCTTCATCCTAAGGAGAGGGTCGCGGGTGTGCCGGAGCCTCTCCCAGCCGTCTTCGGGCAGCGGGCGGGGGACACCCCGAACCGCTTGCCAGCCAATCGCAGGGCACACATCGACAAACGACCACTCGTGCTCTCAATCACAATTTCGAGGGTTCAATTAGCCTGCCATGCGGGAGGAAACCGGAGTACCCGTAGAAAAAGCCCAGGCAGGCACGGGGGAGAACATGCAAACTCCACACGGGAAGGCCGCAGCCGTCGGGTGGGCCGCCGGACCTCGCCGGAGTCAATCACGGTCGTGATAAATGGAACGATCTCATCGTTACTGGAGTGAAACGCCTCACATCACAACCGGAGTGACTCATGAATTTGATCTCATCACAATCAAAGTGAGCAAACGTGACGGATGTAACGGTGCTTTTCTACGTCTTTGAAGAAAATGGTGCCGCGGCACACTGAGAATGGAACTTCAAATCATGAGCCGGACAGCGAACAATGATTGATGGCGACCGAATACGTTCTTTGCTTCTCTGTTGAGTTTCGATTTGAGTTCCCGCCCACTCACGGGCGTTGCAGGTGCGGTTTGCTGATGAGGTGCTCGGAAGCCACGCAAGCTCGGCGCCATCGAGTTTCCAGAACAGCTATCAATTGCGCGTCGCCCCTCACGCCGCAACCTGGCGAGCTGGAAGCGCATGGGAGACCTCGGGGCTGGCCGGCCGCCCGTTCGTCATTTTTATTGAGGAATTCCTGGGCCACTTTGGCAGCTCGAGTGCAGCGGCGGCACGAATGCGGCTAAAAAGCGCCACTTTCAAGACTTCGTGAATGTTTGCGGGATTTGCACGCAAAAAACAAAACCAAACAAAAACATTCCCAACAGAACATTTATCAGCCGGTGCCTTTGAAACAAAACTCAATGACATGCCACCAACCGTGTGCTCATTGACATTGCGAGACTGGGTCGGTCGGGTCTTCCACTGATCTTTGTGTCGACCCTTTTTTGCACGAAACCCGGCGAAGATCTCGGTTCCCCCCTCTTGCTCGTCATCAACGAACTCCGAGTACATTGAAACCCGTTTCTTCTCCTCTCAGGCGCCGGGTCAGGTTCTTCCACCTTAAAGTCATCCCAGATCGTTCAGAGAGCTTGTTTCTGCACGAGACGTGTTCCAGGGACAGATTTGGAATCAGACCCTTGTGCATCACGTCTCAGGAGCGCTGAAACAAGAATGCGGTGTCTCGATGCGAGGACGTGCAAATACGAACCCATGCCACAGAGGCCTTTGTTCCGCCGGCTTATCACCAAAAGGTCAAAGATTCCCGATTCCGCCTACATGCCCATCATGGCGCGAAAAGGAAAAGCCCGATGAGCCGGGACAGACTACGAGTTGGGTGTATGGAAACGGCAGGAATGTGGACATGTTTACGTTCGAGGGGTGAGGTCCTTGACGACAGACCATCTGCCGTGAGCCCAAAAGGTCGCGGGAGGCTCATGAACGTTCATATTTGCTGGAAAGGCACCTCGGGGAGGAGCCGTCGCTCCTTTCCTGGAGTGATACAAAGCGCGTTTTCATATCCGCGCCGTCGGCAACTTGGCGTTTGAACGCTTGCCGATGAAGCACGCAGGCATACGATCGCGATTGTGTTGTCGGGTCGTCGACGGATTTGGGATCAGGCGTGTACGGTTTCCACATGAAATCCACGTGGCGGCGATATGGACTTCTTCCATCGGTCAGTGCAATCATGACAAAATGCCAAATGTCCCACTCGGAGCTCAGGAGTTCGGAACGCGCCCCAAATTGTTAGTGGATGGGATGGGTGGAACGCCCGCAACGTCCATCGTTTGATGTCATCCGTAGTTCAGGATTTGACATTGGGAAGGACAAAATCTGACAAAACCCTTTGGAAGTTTCATCGCATCAAGCTCGGCGGCCAGCGAGAGGGATAACCGGCAAGAACGAGTCATTTCGCAGGAGACGCCCTGAAGAGCGTCCGCACGACATTTGCTGCCACCGGTTTAAAGCAACAACGCAAGTTGGCACCGTTTCGCCTTCCTTTCCGGAGCCACTTGAAGGCGGCGGCGGCGGCGGCGGCGGCTCTAAAGTGCACGAGAGCCCAGTAAAAAGTGTCAAGAGAGACAAAGAGAAAAACGATTTCCCGGCCGGGTCTCGGGGAGCGGCTGTAACCCGAGCGCAATCATGAAAGCTGGCAGTTCATTTTTCACAGGGTCATCCATCGACCGGTCTCATAAAGTAATGGGCTTCTTCTGGGAGGCGGCTTTATGAACACTAAGATAGTTAGGAGACATGCGGAGGAGCTCCGGGTCCTGCTCGGACTTGCGCCGGGTTATTCCCTCCTGGCGGCGGTGGCGTGCGAGGGAGGCGCGGCTCCCGGTAATATCAACGAGTAATAAAGATTAATCTGTTGCTGGTTGCCCTGCTGATTACTCCTCAACTTGCTTGAAATAAGACTCAAATCACTTCAGAGACATTCCCGGGACCTTCGGTGGGTGTCGGCGTGTCTTTGCCGCCGGCAAACTGAATTCACCATTCAGACGTGAGCATTTCGGACTCTTTCTTTGTGCTTCTTTGACTGGATCAACCCAACATGCTTCAAGGCAGACTTTTCACTCCCATAATTTGGACAGACTGGACGTCAGGGCAGTATGTCCCCAGAAGGAATCAGGAAGCTGGGTGTGTCCTGTGATCGGAATCAGAGGGCTCATCCAATTGTGATGCAAATTGGATAGCTGCTCAATCCACGACGGCCTCAAGTGGCAAATTATATCCAATTTGCCTGACGATGATCAATTTTTACATATCAGCCATACCAATGACAAATAATGTCGTGCTCTCATGAAAAAAAATACAAGTGGGGTCAACCAAAAACTGGAACCGCAGCAGAAATCATCTCAGTACTTTGATTGGGTGTTTGAGCATCTGGACTTGACTAAATTGAGCAAAATTTTGTGCTCCTTGGCTCGATTTCAAACACATTCAGACTTTCTTCTCCCAATTGGCGCACTTTGGACACGCGTCAGGGCAGCGCAAACAGCCGAATCCAGTCAAGAAATCGGATAGCCGAGATTGGAATTGGATATGTATCGGATATCCGCCAACGTGACGGCACCAAAAAAACAGATTGGATCTGACTTGTCCATTCGAGCCTGACGTCACCAGAATACTCCGATCAACGGCGTAGACAGACATCTACACAAACTGCAAATGGACAAAGACTGGAATGCGCCCCCCACCCCCCCAAAAAAACAAACAAACAAACAAACAACCAATGCAGCAGATCGAACCCTTGAGTCAAAAATCGTACAAAAACGGGATGCCAGCCCTTGTGTTTTATGAGCGGTGTGAGAAGAGGTTCAAGACTCACCTGTTGCGTCGGGCCTCTTCACGTTGAAGGCCGGTAGGTTGTCGCCTCCGTAGGCTCGGAGCACGGACATCATGTTCATCTGCTGCTCAGCCTTCAGAAGTGCCGGCGGGGCTTCGGGCGGGGGCAGGAGGTTCATGCCTTGCTGCCACGGCTTCTCCAGGGACATGACTTGCCTCTGGTTTTGCTGGAAAAGCGGCGGCGTCACGGCAGAGGACGAGGCCACCGACCCATCCTGCAGGCGCTTATGGTGGTTCTGAGCGTGGTCCTCTGCCGGACTTCCTTCTTCCTCTTGGTCCATGTCGTCATCTCGCTCCTCGTCCTCTTCGGCTTCGTCCCGCTCCTCGTCGGAATGGCGTTGCCCCGCTTTGGGCGTGGCCGACGGGGTGTCTCGGGTGACGTGCGCCCCAGATTTGACAACCTCGTCATCAGACCCGACCTGCTCCTCCTCGGGTTCTCCGCAGGAGCTCCTCTCACCAACTTGCTCGTCCGGAGCCGAAGAGGCTCCTCTGAAGGCCTTGCCGGGAACTTCCAGGCCCTGCTCGGTTGCGGCCATGTAGCCTTGGAGACCCTGAGCCGCCCCCCGGGGAGAGCCATCGTACAAGCCACCAAAGCGCCTGTAGAAGTCGCTCTGGAAGGGGTTGTAGGGCTGGTCGATGTGGTTGCTCCAGCCCACCTGGTTCCTTTCTCCATCCCCGTCTTTGTCCGAGAGCAAACTCTTGATGTTCGGGGACTGATGGGTGGCGGGAGAAGCCTCTCCGTGCACTTCCCTGCCCGTATCGGCCCTCTGCGTTTGGGCCTGACCCAGATGGTTGGCCTGGAGGTGAAGGGCCATGAGCTCCAGCGATGCGGTGGAGAAGGAGCAAAAGAGACAGCCGTGCCACGCCACGTTGTCATGGATGGTGACCGAGGAGCCGGGGAGGGAACCGGATCCGGACTCGGGCCGGACCGACACCGACAGATCCAGCGGCTCAAACTGGGAGCCGGGTTTTCCGGCTGACGGATTCTGCTTGGCCTCGGGTTTTTCATCTTTTTCCCGGTCTGCCACGGCGGTGCGCTTGGCTCTGGGCTCACCATTGTCAAGGTAGGACTGGGCGGCTTGGACCTGGACCAGAGTCTGGTTATCCTTCGGATCTCTCTTCATGGAGCCGAGGACAAAGTTGTCCATGAAGGCCTGCAGAGTGCCTTGGAAGTGAACTCCGTTTCCCATCATGCTTTGGTAGGCCCGGCTTAGATCAGAGAAGCTGGCGGGACCATCGGCGGGAACCAGGGATGCGGGGCCATCGTTGGGCTTCACGCTCTCGGCGATGGCATCGAAGTGGCGATCCCCGCGTTCGCTGGCCGCCGCCACGCTGGCCGAGGCCCACTGATGCGGCAGCAAAGGGCCCGCTCTGAAGTCCAAGTTGGCGGGGAGGCCTTTAAAGACGTTGCGCAGAACATCGGGGCGGGCAAAGACGCCGCCGGCCGCCGCCTTCCCGTGGTCGTCCTTGTGCTCCGACGAGGGGCCGTGTCCGAGGGCGGCCGAGCCGTTCTGTCGCTCTCGGTGGTGGCGCTCCAGGTGGTACTTGAGACTGGCGGACTGGGTGCCGGCGTAGTCGCAATGAGGGCAGCGGTAGGGCTTCTCTCCTGAGGGGAAGAGCGCAAGAGCGAATCATTAACCTGATTATTAGCCGCTGGATATCCAGAAGCTATTTGCCGGAGCGGGAACGCCGACCCGAGGGTCATGTCACCTCCCCGGAGGAGGAAAAGGAGGTCGGAGCGGCAAATGAAACACTTTTCATTAACGCGGATAACAAAAGAGGATGCTTCGACAGTGGTTTGCAAACCTTTTTTTCAATCGTGTCACCCCTTGGGAATATTTTTTTCATCTCCCCAAAATCCCATTAACGCATGTTCTTAAGGATATTTTTTGGCCGTTTTCTCCTTTCTCGGTCCTTGAAAGTGAAATTTACCGACGGCATCATTCCTGTGACTTGGGACTTGATCACTCTCGGAGCAAGAAATTGCAACAAAATGTGGTTAGTTGAACTTCATCAAGCATTATTGTTGAACTCCTTCATCTATTGTGGACCTCCTTCATCTGCTGTCGCGTGCATTCTCGCACAGCCGTTACAGCTTCATGCCTTCATATGACTTGACAACAACTTGTTTGTTCAACAATTTTTTTCGCCTTACGCAAACAAAAGAATGCAGTCATTTGTGTGCAGATTTCGGCGATTGAGTTTCAAGATTATGATTGTTATTTATTTTTCAATTTTTTTTAAATATCGTTCCAGCAGGTGTTGGGCAATATGTAACACTTTTTGGCCGTTTTCTCCTTTCTCGGTCCTTGAAAGTGAAATTTACCGACGCCATCATTCCTGTGACTTGGGACTTGATCACTCTCGGAGCAAGAAATTGCAACAAAATGTGGTTAGTTGAACTTCATCAAGCATTATTGTTGAATTCCTTCATCTGCTGCCGCGTGCATTCTCGCACAGCCGTTACAGCTTCATGCCTTCAGATGATGAGCTCTCGGGGCCAGAAACTTGACAACAACTTGTTTGTTCAACAATTTTTCTCGCCTTACGCAAACAAAAGAATGCAGTCATTTGTGTGCAGATTTCGGCGACTGAGTTTCAAGATAATTATTGTTATTTATTTTTCTAATTTTTTCAAATATCGTTCCAGCAGGTGTTGGGCAATATGTAACACTTTTGACTGTTATCGGCAAGGGTATTTTTGCATACTTTCAAACCACTTCTGCCCAGACCAGATCACATTGAGGACAAAGAGATCGTCGATAAGGCACGGGTCGGCGATTGTCCTTTTCAAGTTGTACCTATCCTTACTGCTGGATTTTGCATCTCTGAGTGCGGTCGTTGGCGAAAGAGGACGCGACGCCACACCCTGAACAACACTGACGGTGACGGAGTTTCTCGTGAGAGTTGGACAAGCATTTGAAGGTTCACCATAAAAATGCGTCAAGCTGTACTCCCATTTGAGGAAGGCTGCTCTAAAACAAAAGCGAGGCGGAAGAGCTGATGAAGGCGAGTTTAATACGAGTGCCGACAAGAGCGAGAGTCATAAAGATAAACATCTAACCACCCACTGCCTTGTCAGCGCCGCTCCATTTCATGTGTCTTACTGCTCGCTGACGGGGGAGGGGGGCCGGGGAGGGCGCGCTGAAGGCGTCTGAATTTGGGTCGATCCGGTCTCGCCGAGCCAGCCATCACTCACGTCGGCGTCATAAAAAAATAACACGTGGCCATATGGCGCTCTCGGCCCACCGAGAAACGCTGTATTTCCAAGTGACGGCCACGCTATCCGTTTCGCTGCGGATCAAACGGTAAACGACGGCTGATGAATTGTGATACGATTTCAGACTCTCACTTGTACTGTATGTTTTTCACAACTACAAAACAAAAAAATCTTAGGTTACAGAAAAAACGTGAAGCCGAAACAGGCAAAGGGAAGTGTTTGTCAATTAGCGAGCTCGCGAGCTAGGAAAAACATTTTAAATCAAGTCATTACGTTCAGGAAAAAAAAAAAGAGTTCGACCTGGTTAAGCGAGTGATTTTAGGCTCCTACTTCAGTGTGCGCTTTCGTCTATTTGGGCCGCTTAATGAAGCCTCAAGCATGCGGTCGCCCCCTGGTGGTGGGTTGACTAATGGTTGAGAAAGTGGCAGCGGAGCTCGCGTTTTCATTGCAAACAATTGCCACCCATAAGGTTCATTTCACTGTCACAGCCAAAATTGTGGCAATCAAAAGTTGAGTTGCAAAGTTTTGTTGTTTTGTTTTTTTGAAACGATGCCATGCAAAGTGGGCGGAGCATGGTGTCAAATTTTGAGTTTTCAAAAATTTGCCACCGAGATCATTTTCACCGATTGACAAAAACTCAGTGGACATGTTGACAAGAGGCGGCGCGTGGGTGACTGACTGCTTAGCGCGTCGGCCTCACAGTGCGGAGGTGCAAGGTTGGATCTCGGCTCCGGCCTTCCCGTGGGGAGTTTGCATGTTCGCTGCCCATCTTTCAAACTCATCTGACAATTCATTTTTATTCTTTGGCTTTTGACTCAGCAGGAGACTTGATTTATAATTTGACTGTTTTGGTGTTTTCTCCTGTCTCTGTTAGTAATTCCTTGTTTTATTGTTTGTTGTTGTATGAATTCTTTCTGCTCCATGTACAGCACTTTGTATCCAGCGGCGAGTGTTTTAAAGTCTTCCAGAAATACAATTGAGAGTTGAGTTGAACTATCGTGGGGAAGCCCCAAACAGACGCAAGTAAGGCTTTTTGGAGGGGGGGTGGGGGGGGGGAATCCAAGGCACCTAATGTGCCCCAGCCATCACTCAGGTCGCGACCTCCCAACTATCACGTGAGGCGGCCGAAGGTGCATCGGCTCAGTGCGGAGCGCCGTCTTTCCAAGTGACGGCCTCGACCAGCACGCTCGTTCGGACCTTCGCCGCGGTTTGCGGATGGGCGCCGGTAAACGAGGGGTGAATCCATTGTGAGGCCGTCTATTTATTGATGCTGCACATGCATATTCATGTGGCGTGCTCTTGTTGTTAATGCTGGAAGACGAGCGCGCAGCTTGCCAGGAGTGGATGTTCCACCGCGGCGATACACATCCTGCAAGCAATTATAAGAGGCTCGGAGTCGCCGCCAGATTTAGCTTCATTAAACAATGAACACAGATGAGGAAAAATGCAAAGCTCGCCTCCTTCTTTTAAAGAAAGGAGGGGAAAAAAAAGTTCCAAAAGTGGGGGATAAGATTACTCATCTGACCTGTGAGGGGTCATTTCAGGTGATTTAACACACACTGACAGCAACAGTGGAGATCAAGCAACAGTGCACGTGAGCAGATTGCCTTCACAGTACATGCCATGAAAAATCGACTTTTGCTTTTGTAGTTTAAGCGTGTACTTTTTCACATTGGGACAGTTAGGTTTGAATGTTTTTTTTTGGGGGTGGGGGGGCAAGGCATTGTTACGCCAGGCTGCTTTGAATGATTTAAGTCGGGCTGTGTAGTAAATCATGGATATAATTAGCAAATGGCATAGTGCTCAAGTCGTTTATCATTATTTAGAGGGCACCATTCCAGAAAAAGACTGCGCAATCTGCAGACCTACTGCCGAGCCGTGGCAGAAAGGGCCACAAACAGCGACTCGATACAATATTGATACAGGCCGGCGGAGAATAGGAGCCCGCACAAAGGCAAAGGCAAAGGCAAACTCCGGATAGCGAGACGCAAACAATTATAAGAGGCTCGTGGTCGTCGCCAGATTTAGCTTCATTAAACAATGAACACAGATGAGGAAAAATGCAAAGCTCGCCTCCTTCTTTTAAAGAAAGGAGGGAAAAAAAAGTTCCAAAAGTGGGGGATTTGGGTGAGCGCGCGGGGGGATTGATGGGGAAGAAAAGCGAGGGAAATGCTCATTTCTAAACATACAATCATATAATGTTTAGAGTCGACACATGGAAACGCTTTTTGTGTGTGCGTGT